CCGGGCCAGGAGCAGCCCCCGCCTGTGCACAGGCAGTTTACAAACAAGGGGAAACTCTTCATGATCTCCAGGTCTCACGCCGCCGGGGGCCCGGGAGGAGAAGAAAGTGCTGGCGACTAGGGAACGGGGAGGCGAGAGAGGACGCGGGAGTTCCCCTCGGACTGATCCCAGGAAACCATTCCACATCCAAAGAGCTGCAGAATGTTATCCTTGAATTGTGTTCGCAAGATTCCGGTAGATAACTCCAAGCAAAAGTCTTTTTCTTTTTTTAAGCAAACTAATCTTTTTATGTCCGATGGTGACTGTACGTTCCATGAAAACAAAATGTATTAAAAGGTCGGCGATCTAGTTCGTTAGATAAAAATCCCTTAATTTTCTTAGGATCAAAATAATATATTTTTGACAGTGATTGTGCACTTTACTCCAGTCTTTTTGGGGGACACCTAAATTTCCTGGCGCCCATATCCTGTCTCTAATCTCTTCCGTGGCTGCTTGTGAATGACAAGCTTTATTCTCCCTCCCTTCACAGAGCTTAGAAGCCTGGTTCTCTCTGAATTGATCTTCCTGAATGAAGTCAAAGCCAAAAGCAGGAGTGAGGGAGGGAAGAACGTTCTCCTTGCCCCGCTGCACTCTGCGCTTGCACTGACCAAGGGCCTCTTTATTTTTGAAAGGGTATTTGCACTTCTGTTCTGGGCTCTGCTGTCCAGACTGACAGGCGTGGAGCTAGCTCCGATGTTACATCCCCAAGTCCACAATGGGAACCACATCACGCTTTATTGAGTATTACCACAGTGTACTGAACATAACCTTAATATTTTAAACTTTTTAAATAAAAGTAGTTTCCAAACACTTAAACATAACACCACTTTATTTTGCCTGGGAACTAGCGTTTCTAAAGCAACGTGATCATTTAACAGTTTATCTGGTACATCTAGAGTATTCTGATATGACCTGGCTACTAAGACAACAGCTATCTTCTCCCAAAACGTGAGAATATCAATGGATTTCCAGTATATCATTCACTTCTAGGTTGCGGCACATTTGGGAGTTACTCTTTCAAGTAGAGTGAAGCATTAAGTGGCACGTTTCCATAAGATTTCTAGTTAAGGTTAGAACACTGACTTACAGAGCATGAGGCCTAATACTCTTTTTTTCAACCTCTTGGATTTCACTGATTTGGTTTACATTTACGGGCTTAAATCCATAGGCAAAAAGGTGGTGGTGTTTTCAGTATGTCAGCAGATTGTTTATACTTGATGCTATTAAAAGCCAATCTGTTGGTTTGCAAGAACAGGAGACAAAGAATTCACTTGCAGTCCTGGTGTCCTTCCTTTCTGTGTCACCTGCGAATCCTGGGAAAGGTGTTGTCCTCTTTGCATGCAAGTCCAGGGAGCCAGACTGTCCTTGTAGTAGGTTGAAGTATGGATCATAAAGGGAAACCAGTGGAAAAATGCAGTCAGGAGTGAGCAGCTGAGCCTGCAGGGTATAGATTCGGGGCTGAGTAGATCTCAGCTCTGGGCACTTGCCAGCCTGCGTACGCCACCCTGGCGGGTCTCAGTGCTCTACCAGCAGTGTCTGTGGCCAGCATGGTCACCATAGCACCATGCGTGTTTGGGAGAATTGGCCTTCCGCGGGCTCTGCCAGCCTGGAATCTGAAATACCCGCTCATTATCTGCATAACCTTAGACAAATCGCTTAATCCTCCTGGGCCTCCATTGCATGATGTAATCTCTGTGATAGCCTTCAGCTCAGAAAGCTTTGGCGAAGTTCAGGGTACTGGTTTTAGCCTCCAGACCATTAATCATATCAGATTTGCACAAAACTCAGCAAATTCCACTCGTGTACCCTCCTGTAATAGATTTTTTATTAAAGGCTTAACCCCCGCCCATTGGATCTGCATTAATCCAATACCTCACTTAAAGCTCTGGATTAATCTGCTGAGCTCCCCTATGGAGCAAAAGTGGGGTTACACTAATGAGTGACAAAAAAGCGTAATAGGACCTCCAGGTATTATGAAATGTCAGCAGTCCCTGGTGTGTTCACACTTGCAAGCAACAACGACAAAAGTCAAATTTCCTGTTTTCTCCTCCATTATCCTGCATGTAGGGTTATATGTGCACTGAGAGGATGTTATATAAGAGGAAAAGTGGTTGCTGTGCTGCTTCCAGTCCTTAGAAAATGTACTGAAATGACATTTGGTGAATAACCAAGCCCCTGTCTGCCTTCACTGAGGAGAGGAGGGTCAGAATAATTTTTACCCTTTGTTCCTTGTAAATTTTAGACAATCCAGTCTAAACAACTCTATACTTATTGATACTGATTGCCTAATACTATTAATCACATTGAATGAAATTCTTCTGGCTCTTGTTGATTTCCCGTAGGCCCTCTGAAATGAAACAATTTCAGCAAATTTACTTTAGCATCAACTTATAGCTATCTTCACGAGCAGTACAACCAGATTTTCTTTTTTCCCCTGAAGATAAGAAAAGTTGAACTCAGTTTTCCAAAGTCTTGATAGAAGGCTGGGATTTCCTCACATTGCAGGAGAAATCCTCCACAGTTCTGACCACAAGAACTCTCGATGTTAAGTTTCATAGGAGCAGATATCTTATGCAATGATAGTGCCAACTTTTACTCACTTTATTGTGGACCATGTACTGTTCTGCCAGGTTTACATGTATGACCTGAATTTCAATTAATCTACACAGCAATTCTATTGAAGTAGAATTCTATGAGAGGGATCCTGAAGTCAGAGAGATGGAATAGTTCCCTCAGATTACTCCTCTGGCAAATGGCAGAGACAGGATTTTCACAGCTTTCTTTGAGGTTAGGTGGTCCTGCTAGCTGAGATAACATTCCAGACACCATTGAAATATGATCCCCCCATCTTCTCACCAGAACCCTTGCCTGAAGGATTCTTAGGCTATGAATTCACAGTCAGATGAAAAACTGGAGATTGTGTTGTAGTCTTTGGACTAGAGTAAACAGGTTTTCTCTTCCCTAAGTGACCTTGTAGGGGTTTTTTTTGGTTTTTGGTTTTTGTTTTGCCAAAGCCATAGGGATCTTTGAAGCCACCCTACAGAGCATGGAACCCCCCACTTATACTCCTAAGATTTGGGAAGATAAAACAACTTGTCATGAGACAGTAGCAGTGGCAGGACTCTTATGCTGAAACAATTGTAATAACTGGAAAGATGTTCTACCCCTGAATTTCTATCATGTACTAGCCGGGTGGCCACAGGCCAGGTACTTGGCCTCTCTGTGCGTCTCAGTTTCCCTTCCATGCACTAGGAGTAATGATGGCTTTCTAGGCCACAAGATTGGAATGAAGAGTAAAGGAACTAATTAATGCTTGTGTAAAGGGCTTATGACAGGCGTAGCTCACACACTGTTGTGAAAGTTTTGTTAGTTTCATTGCAAATAGAATCAATTTCTAAATAGAATTATTTCATATGGCCTTCTTTTTTATTAACACAATAAGTGTAAAGATCTAGTCTGTGAGGCAGTGTGGCCGAGTGGCCTAGGGTGTGACTGTGAGGGGTTACAGAACACTGTACTTAGGTCCTACCGCTATTAAATGGAAATAAACAGCATTTGGACTCATAGAATTAATTATTCAAGTGGGGTCCAAGGACACTAATGTACATAAAGGACTTGAAAACAATTCCTGGCAGACAAAACATTCAGGAAATGTTAAGCACTATTACTGAAGCAAATTTAGAAAAGTAATTCATTGGCTAAATCTACAACTCAGTTATTAGTGACAACCACAAATCCACTGTACTGAAAGGTCTCGGTAACTTAGAAGTACTAGGGGAGAAGACTACAGCGGCTGAAGACTGGTGCTGCTGTGAGGTCCACTGTAGGACCCAGAAAGAACTGCTTGAGCACCTGATGGGGTCTTATGTAACAAAGGCTGGGGACCAGGGGTTCTCTTGACTGGGGACCAGGACGGTCCACTTCCCGGTGTTGAAGCTGTCCTGTCAGAGAGGCCTCCACGCCCCGGATCCTGTCCTCTCAGAATGCCCCACGGCAAAGGCAGGAGATCTAGTGAATTACTTAAATCCTCGGGGAAAAGGGTTTTCTAGTCTTCTTCTTAGTTGTTTTCAGTTTCTCATGAAGATACAATTTTGAATTTTTATTTTATTTTATGTCTTGGAGCTACAGAACCTAAAAAGAATTCTCTGACACCATTAGTACAAACTAAAGATAAGATTTCAATTTTGAAAAGAATAC